TGGAAAGCGCAACTCAAAGCTTTTGTCTTTGCTTGGGGCATGGCTGGAAGCACTCAGCACCGAGCTGGCGCCGGATCCTGCGAAACACTGCAATAAAAACCATTGAGCTGGGCTTTGGCGGATCTATCATGGGTTTACCAATTAACCCTGCGCGAGCGATTGTTCTCGGAGGCTGGTGGGGGCCTCAAGGACAACCCCGGGTGTTGAAGAAGAGGGTCTGCCCCCCTCCCCGCCCGTCAGCTAGTGAGAAGCGCCAGGGAAAAGACTTGGGTTCGGAGGCCCGCCAGCAAACGCAAACAACCGGGCTAGAGCCTCATGAAAGCAACCGCGCGGGAGCTGCGCAGGCGCCCGCGCGCAGGCCCAAGCAGCTTAACGTCCGGCTGAGCGCGTCTGGAAGCAACGTGACTGGAGTGCATCGTAAATCTGACTCGTATTAAGCCAGCGAGCTTGGTGTCAGTTGCGTTCACCGCGGTAAAAGTACGACATGAAGAATTGAGTGCACTTGGAAAAACTACCGCGCTGCAACTTGGATGATGTGGTGCAGCAAGTCCCAAAATCTCGCGCATCGCGGTACCTGGTGAGGAGCCAAGCACTTGTCGTGGGTCAGTTTCATGTTCCCCCCAAAAAAAAATCAAGTGGGATGTCAACTTGACTGCCACAAACGATCCTATGGGCTTGTTTGGTTGGTTGGTTCTAGGTTGAGAGCCCGGGACTTCGAGAAGCGGACAGACCAAACGCCCGGTGGCGTTTGAACGGGTCATGGAGGTAGTCGCGAGTGGCAAGCTACAAACCACACACCTTAGTCAGTAGCCAGGAAAAAAGGATCAAATCTCTCAAAAGAGACCGGTGATGGGCCAGTTGATTCTGTCAATTTCTGCCTGTGGTGTGAAGGGGTCACAGAAGCCCGTGAGAGAACCGCTCAATTGTGCCTTTGGAAAGGCCATGGAATCACAGTATCGGCCCAACAAACTAAGTTTGCTAGGGTTGAAACATACGATTTGGGAGGTGAGGCAACCTTTTGTGATAAGTAGACCACCCTTCACCCCCCCCCCTCGCTCACATGGAAACCAAGCTCAACGTCCGTGGAAACATCTGGCACCCCCGGATCGTTGTGCCGTGGCTTACTGGTGGAAGTGACGTGGGGCCCAAGGGCCAGACCCAAGGTTTCAACATGAGTCATAATCAAAACCCGGTATTCAAATGGTCTACCCAGAACCATGTAAAGAATTAAGAAGGCGGCCGCAGCTATGTATGGTTGGGATTGTCCCTTACTAACCTTCTAGCCGGATGTTGATTGTGGCTCACATGGAGACATCCAGGCTCTCTGATTTCCGTGCGCTCTGCAGGTCACTTGACACGACACTTCCACAAGCGATTTGATGCGAGAATCCAGCGGGCTTCGAGCGACTCGATATGGATGTGCCAAATAGCCACGAACGAGAAAATATTCGATGTCAAATGCCCCCCCACATAAACATGGTGGCTTGCCTTTTGTACCTTTAAACCAGGCCTAACATGGGTACCGCACCCTCATATCTGCCGCCCAATGTTTGGATGCGAGCAGCTCTACCAGAACACCCGTGATGAGACCTTTGCGGCTGAAAGTGCAGCCCAGATGCCATGACCAGCCCAGCAGTCTTTGGCCTCAAGGTATCACATGGCCATGCATTTTGATCTGCGGGGTTGTTTGGTGGGACACATGACTACATGGCTATGATTTTCAGAAAGTAAATAGGGAACCACCTCCAAAGTGGTTGGTGGACATAAATCCCTAAACCGCCTAAATGGTGTCCACCAGAGGATTCCTTAAGTCGCACCCACAAGATGTGCACAGGAAAGCCTGTTTAGCTGAACTCGTGTCAGGCAGAACCCTTAGCTCATCGGCCGAAATCCGAGCTTCGGGGGCCCGGGCCCCCGGCTCGGACATCGTCTTCGGCTTCAAGCCAACGGCCACTCGGGACCAAAGCCCCAGCTGCAACTTGGGACTTGCCGCCTTGCTGGCGTTTTTTCTTGTTGGGGGGGGGGAGGTTGTTTTTTCTTCACTTCCTTCCTTACTTTTGCCTGGGCTCCTGCACCCCAGTCCCGAGCAGCCCGGTGGCCGGTGGCCCCCGGCGGCTTACCCGCCCGGCGGCACCCGCCCGGCACGCGCGCGCTTGCCCGGCGCCTGAGCAGCACAGGCACCGCCCACAGCGGCCGCTTCCCGGGGCCCAGCTGCTCCAGGAACTGCTGGGCGTTGGCCACGTCCAGCTCCACGCCTGAGCCGAGCTTTGGAGTCGCGAGCCGGAGGCGAGTCAAGAAGCCCAGGGAAAAAAAGACCTGCGCCAAGGAAAACCCGGAAAAAGAGGAGTGGGGAAAAAAACGTGGGTGAAATGGACAACCCATGGGAAAACCTCGACTGATCCCCTGTCTTGAGGGGGAGGATTGAGGAAGCCCCATCCCATCGGTCTAGTCTTTCCCATAAAAGGGAAATGGAACCATGAATGGAATTCCGGTCACCCCTCACTAAACTTTTTGCGGGTTAAAATGGAAATCCCCCTCTAAACGCCAACAGTCGCAAAGCTAAAATGATCCGCCCCCACCCCCCCCTCAAAGTGACTTTCTAACTTTTCGTGGGTGTACTCAAGAAGGGTACCACAAACAAACTCCACGCTATGACAAGTCATGACACAAACAGCCGGGACCTAGCTACAGCCTTTCCAATGCGCTCAACGACCGGGGGCGCTCATTCAGGAGAGACATGGCCTACATTACACGAAAGGAAAACCCTCCCCAGCCCACATAGGGCACCTTCGAAAAATGGAAAGTTGCCTTGACCCGCCACGCTCACTGTCATTCGCCAACACGTTTTCCCAACCTCCGCAGTTTGGGCTGGGACCAAAAAGTCAGACCGACAGCCACTGAGCCTGCATACTTGCATGCGTGCGTCGCACACCCACCCACATGAAGCACCGGAAGACTCATTTTTTGGCCACCCTATTTTTGGGAGACACCAGCCTTAAAAAGTAGGTTGACCCCTTCTCTGAAAGTGGCGTTGAAAGAGCTCCGCAACTTCCCCTCGGGGAAATTTCGTTCGCCAAGATTCCAAATCACATCACAAGAAGAGTTTGGAGAATGTGCCAAGGCCAATGGCCCCACATTTCGCATGTTTTTTGTGACCGGTCATGAGATGCGGGCAACCCCTTCTGAAGAGAACGCCGAAGAGCAAGGCATGCATCTCATGTTCAGTTCTCCGGTCATGAGGCATGGATCTGATCTCATGGAAGGCCTTCTGTCCTTCATGGAAGAAGCCAAGGGTTTCTCGCACCCGGGTCCCAAAGTATCGGACATTATATAATGTTACTGGGAAACCACCTCAAAAGTAGTTGGTGGACATGAATCCCCACCGAAATGGTGTTCACCAGAGGGCCCTCAACTAAAGTTCATGCCCACATAATCCTCACCTGGGCAGGTTTGTGTGGCCTGACCTGTTGTTAGACTCCAGGACGACTGATTTGGCACTCACAAAGGGCGTGAGCCTACGGCTAGACGGCGCTATGCAAGCTGAGCATCTAGAAAGGTTCGAGAAGTTGTAGCAAGTGGCGATGTTGACAACGGCGAATGCCTCATCTGCTCAAGGCTTTCCAGAATGAATCAGCTCAACTTGCGCTTCCATTCGAAGATCCATTGGTTTACCTGATTGCTCGCGCTCCGGGAAAAAAAAAAGAAAAGAAAAAAACACAAAAAAGCTAAGCGTTCGCGTCCAAAAGCATTGTTTCCGAAAATCAGGAACGTCCTAGCGGATCGATGTGCCTTTCCGTTTCCCTCACCACCCGTGATACCCAAATTGGGCTCGGGAATCGGGCCCCAAATCAACCGGAGTGTGCTGGGCTGACTCCAAGCTGGGTTCCCATTGGTGAGCCAAAAAGGGGGGCAAGTTCTCACCCTAAACTGGTGGATTTCGTGTTTAGCTTCCCTTTCAAAGGCGTGTCCCAATCCCCAATTTGAGCATCACCCTTGGTTTGCGAAGGCTGTCACTGAATTCCAACGCAACAAAGGGCATATAACATGTGCATCATTAAATCTGGGCCTGCAAGGGGAACAAACACCCTAGATGCCTTTTCATGGGGCCCGAGTTCGAACAAACAAACACACTTTCCCTTGTGAGGTGTTGCACTTTGGCAAGCCTAGCCATTGCACCCCCGACATACATGTTGTTTCCGCTCGCCGCTTCGACATGAAGCAACGACGTCACTGGATTGGATCAAGCAAAGAGACGGGCTCACTAGAAGTGATGGAAGGTTGACTCTTTGGTAGTGGGAGCAGTCAGCTACCATACCAGACCATATCCAACCAACCGCTAGCACAAGGTCGGAAATCGGCGGACAGTTGCATCTCCAACCCCCTTTTGCTCAGCGTACTGAGCTTGCGCAGTCTCCCCAAGCACCTCTGCCCCAAGCACCGCCCCTTTTTTGGGCACAACCCACCTTCTTTTGTGTAAATATTATATATATATATATAGATCACCTAGGATCCCAGAGACTCCATGCCCCCGCCCCCCCCCGGAATTCGAATTTGCCGCCGAATTTGCCGCCGGCAGCTCGGGGAAGAGCTGCAAGCAGCAGCTGCTGACCGACAAAGGCAGCGCTTTCACGCCTAGAAAGTGCCCCCCCTCCCATGGCTTCTCGCGAACCCTTCAGCTTCCCTCTAATTGGCTAGGTCCTCCAGTAGAGAGGTTAGAATAAGTTGGTACCAACCTGTTTGTTGTTGTCTATTTAGCAGGGGAACCCTCCCCCAAACAAAGGAAAAGGTGAAAGGGCAGCACTGGGGGACCTAGACAAAGCACCCTGCTGCAGCTTCCCTCGGAGCCCGGCGGTTCGGAGCCCGGTGGTCTGCTTTGGGGGCTTCGGCTTCCCATGCACCCTCTACAAGAACCAGCTCAAATCCCCAGACCACCAATTCAAAGCAGTTGGAGGGAAGCTGATTTGTATTTTTGGCCGGCGAGCTTCTTTAAAGGGTCTTCCACTTAGACATGGCCCACACCCAAGAAGCATCCAGTCCAGGAACCTGCGCGAGTGGAATCCCCCCCAGGTTTGGCTAGGGCCTCTGCCCCTGGCCAACAAAATAACCACCGGCAACCGATCATGTTACCTCCCCTGCTTGCAAGATAGTCAGCATGCACTGAATAACCTTCCAAATGTATGTTCAAGGCAACACATGCAAAGAGGAGCAGGAACAAAACACCCCAGCTCCGGGAGGGACCTCTGGGAGGTTTGGCCTCTGTTTCAAGGTGAGCCTCTGGCTTTCCAGTCCCTACGAGCTTCCGAGAAATGAGCATAAGTCCACGAACCCTACTTGGTCCTCAGCGAGGGAGTTGTTGTTGCCGCAAACAGGGATCCTTACATTATACACCTGAGCATTGCCTTGTAAATGGTGGTTTGCCTTTATTTTGGTGGAAAAAGCCATGTTTCAAATGGGCAAAATGTATCTTTTAAGGAGCCCTGGCAAACTGGGCCCTTTGTTCCTTGCTATATTCCTTCAACCCCCCCCGCCCCCCAACGTGACGTTCTGGGAACGCTCTCTCAGTCGCCTCCCCTTCACCATTCACCAAGAACCCAAAGCCCAATCAAACTCCGCACACCTCCCAAACCAACCTCACAACTCACCAAGAATCCAAAGCAACCTCCACAAACCCAAGCCAAACCAACCTTCCTCCACCTTCCTCCACCTTCCTCCACCTTCCTCCACCTCTCTCTCTTCCATCCCACCAAACGCCTTTTCCCCCTCAACTCCGAAAAACTTGCTGCTCAGTAGGACTCACCCCGACAAAAACCATCCAACTGGTGATTTCCTCCAGGACCACCAGGTTCCTTCCACCTCATCCCCCCACTTCGCAACCAAAAAAAAACGGCCGCCTTCCCCAACCCCCCCGCGCAAAAAAACGCCGCGCGCGGAACCGCGACACGCGGAACGAGGCCTTGCCGCTGCAAGTCCTCCAACTTCGCGGCCAGCAGCGCCTCCGCGAGCTGCGCGCCCAGGCCTTCCCCCGCCGCCTCCAGGCCTCGCTTTGTCGCGGGCTTTTTGGCGTGGCGTTTGTCGCCCAAGGGGGACTCAAGGGCGGCATGGTTCTTTTTTTTTGGGGGGGGAGGCGGAATGGATTTGTTGGCTGGTTTTTGCCGGACTCAGGGTGACCAATCAATCTTTTTAGGAATGCTTTTTTTGGCCCCTTTGCCCTGCAGCCCAAGCCGCACACGAGACTTGAATTCTGAGAAGCCTCTTTGGGTTCCGCTCGAAGTTGGGGGGGGAGTAAGAAAATATGACCCCTTGGTTGATCTCCCAAAATGCGGACCAGCAGAAAAACAGCAATTGAATATAAATTCCGTTAGAGAACCACTTCATCCCAGAAATGCCACTCGGCGGATTCGGGGTCCATGTTACTGGGTCCCTTCATGTCCAGAAGCTTCCCTTGTCGGGTACTTCCAAGCCGCTACAGGAGACCCTTCTGAACCAAAGGGTGCAAAGACCTGGTCAGTGACTCCATTCACCTGCAACTTAATGGTTTGGAGTCCGGTGAGTTTCCCAGTTGCCCTCTCACCCTCTGCAAGAACCAGGGCTTCAAATCCGCAAACCAGCAGTCCACCAATTAGAGGCTCAGATGCCCAGTGGCCATGGGGAAAAAAGAATCGGCATCCTTTTTTTTGTTGCTTGACTTTCAAGGAACTGGAACCCTTCCCCAGAAAAAAAAAGGAAAAACAAAAAACGAGCGGAATCCACTGGGCAACTGGGGAGGGGTCCCTGGGATCGGTCCAAGCGGCAGAACCCCTCCTTGGCACCGCGGCGCGGCATGTGGCGCGAAGCCCGCTGCGCACAGCCGCGAAAAGCCGCGCTTCCCGATCCATGCGCAAAGCCGGCCAAAAAAAAACAACCGACTTCGAATTTCCGGGCTCTAAGAATTACCAGCTGCCAAAAGCTCCTCTGAACTCTACTCTGAGAAGTTGCTGATGCCCCAAGTGTGGAACACTCCCCCCCAATATGGGCTGCCAGTTTTCTGATCCCCTGCTGAAAGTGAATCACTTTTAGTCGGTGAAATGGAAACTACTACTGAACCCTAGGCAAAAAAAAGGCTAAGGAACCGGACGGCTGGGGGCCACCAAGGAATGTGTAAAGTTGCAAAGTTGGAATGGTGTCCTCATCCCTTTGCCAACCAACCAATCGCCTGGCTGATCAAGTCGCAACGGGAGCATGGCACTGGCTCTGGCATTTCGCAGAACATGTCCCTGGGTCGCCGAAAGGCCAAATGGGCCAAAAAGGGTTGAGCAATTTGACGACTTGGAATTGCGCATCGCAGTCTGCGACTGACTGCAACCTTGCAACTTCCTGCACGTTCCGCAACGTCACTCTCAGCACCCAATGCAGGAACTGCCATGTGGTTCTCATGCTTCGCATGAGCTGCAGCGATTTGCCGTTCAGCTGAGCCGCGGCACGACGGAATGAGAATGCCATGCCAACATGAGAAACTGATTGCCTCTCCAGCCAAAAACCTTTTCATTTGGCAATTTCCTGGAGCAATTGATTGCCATTGGCACCTTTAGCCAGTAAGTCTCAGCGAGTGTTGCAGAATCTTGCCAAAATTGCATGCAGGTCATTGCGCGTGAGTACCAAAGAAACTTTAAGATTGGTGTGTGTGTGTGTGTGTTGCCGGCTTTGCTCATGCTCTGCACTGCATCAAATGGTTATGGTCAAAACCAATGGTACTGTTTGGGGTAGGTGCACCACCCATTTTAGAACCTATTTTAGTGGGGATGTTCACCGTCTGTACGGGGGTTTGACCCATGGCCAAATCCTCCCAACGAGCAAAGGACCTCACCAAGTCTCAGGCCTTCACAGGGTCTTCTTTTTCGCCGTATCTTACGCGCTTTTGGTATCGGGGTATGCCAAACATCATAGATTGTGCTTTGAATGAGCCAATTTCACAAGCAACAAAACAACAGCGTTCCCCATGCAGTCCTACCCCACACACAAAAACAAAGACTTGGCACTCGCTGACAAAATGACTTGTGCAAGAATTGTCTCAAAATTGGGGAGCCCCAAAGGGGTGTGCTCCAGAACCCTATCTCTGGAAGGCTTTTTTTTGGCATCCCACAAAAGGAAACCCCCTATGGGCCCCGAAGGAGGGTCCCTTTGAAACTCCATTGGCATTGGCGGAAGCCAGGAATCGTCTGCAACTCAACTCATCGGGCCTTGTAGGCCAATAGGCAACAAATCGTCTCAAGGCTTTGCTTGCCCCGATCCACGTAGTCCCCCAGGAAGAGGTAGTTCGCCTGCCGGCGTGCAACGAGCAACTCGTGGCAAGCCGCACGTAACTCGCCCTTGGCAGGAGGCGAGATAGCTTCTCTCCTTCGAACACTTGCCACAATTTGGCTGTGGGTCAAGAATAGGTACCCAAAATGGCAGTCCCCGGTGACTTCATTTTGACCCACACCCATTTATCATTTTTGCCCCGACCGCTGGCCTGGTTGAACCAACTGTTGGACTTACAGCAAGGCGCGTGGCGTCCAGAGTCGTTGCTCCTCTCTGCAAGATACGATCCGCCTTTTCAAATGGGATACAGTCGTGCTTCCAGGCAAGGCATCGCAGGTAACAAGGTGAAATCATCATGTATATCCTACGTGAGGTTTAACCTACTATAGTGGGAAATGGAAGCACCTGGGTCTGTTTGCTTGATGGCAATGGGAAACAACTCGCATACGTCACCTTGCGGAGTTTTCGAACGCCCTTTGAAAAGAAATCCCACGTGCTCCGCTGCAAACGCCAGCGCAAAGAAACGCAAACCTCTCTAAATCCAGAAATCCCACCGAAAGTTGCTGATTTCCCCTTCAATCAAAAACAACGGCAACCCACAAAACGGGGAGGTGGTTCCTCACATCCAAACACCGGTGGTTCCCCCCCCCGGTGGTTCGAACGCGCGAAGCGATCCTCGGGAGGGAAGCCGCCCGTCTCGAAGAGCTTCAGCAGGTCAGAGTACCTGGCGATCCGACTCCTCCGCCCGACTCCGCCCGACGACGAACGTCGTCGTCGGATCGGGGTCGGTCGGCTCCCCGTGGAGTTCGAGCGGAGGTTTCTTCGCTGGTGAGAGTAGCGTTAACATTTTTTCTCAGGCGAAAGGTGCCCTGTTCTTGAGGGTATCAAAGGGAAACCAAAAGGACAACCCGCCCGGTTCGTGTTTTGTTTGGGGGTGATACATGCCCGAGTTGCTCCAAGCCTGGAGCACACGTAGACAGTTGGTCCATGGTCCGGCCAAAAAAAACCACGGCCCAATTTTCGGACTGGGATACCACCACGCCTGTGAGCAATCCTTCAAGTAAAGGGAGGTTCCTTTTATAGAGTCAGATGCCCAGCGGCCATGGGAGAAAAAGATGGGGGCATCCTTTTTTTGGTTGGTTCCGCCACATTGCTCCAGACCCAACCCCCCCGAATTGGAGTGAGTGGAGCCCACATCCCGGCGCGAAGGGGAAGGGCAAAGCATGAATTTAATCCATCTGGCAGGAGCATGTGGTCAGCATGCGTTAGCCAAAAAAGGCAGGAGGCGGGCGGCGGGACAAGAAATGATGTTTATCGGACATATACTTTTTTGGTTGGTTGACTTTCAAGGAGAGCCCTTCCCGAAAAAAGGAAAAAAGGGCGCCACTGGGCAACTGGATAGAAGTGGGACCCAACCCCTCTCCACCTGTTCAATGAGGGCAGCAGGTTGGAAAGCATCCACAGCCACGTGCATGAGGCCATTGAAGGAAAGAATAATCCGTGACCAACATTTTCTATACATCGCATCAAATAGCTCGGGGGCTTTTTACGCTTGGATCCTCACCTCATCTCGTGGCATGCTCTGACCAGAATTCGGAGGTTTGAAGTTTAAAGCTGGAGCCCTTGCGAACCATGCGTTTATCCTGACCCAGTAGATCCAAGCGTTTCGTAGCCCTTCCCAACGCTCCTTCTGGATTTGAACACTTGCCTACTAATTATAGCTGGTGCTCAGCAGGGAAGATAAACTGTCCCCTATGGTTTCCTCTAAGGGAATCCCCAGGTTCATTCTCACATTCCCTACTTATCGCTCCAGCAAGTACAGAAGGAACACGGAAGAACGGTTCGCTTCTTCCATCCAAAACCTCCTCCCCCGCCCATCTCGGCCGAACAATTCGCGCACTGCCCATGGACATCCCCGCAGATCTTGAGCGGAACTCCGAGCTCAAGAAGTATGGGCCTCGGAGTAGTCGGGTGTTGGGTGGGGAGTGAACAAGTCAACAGCTGGGAAGTCTAAGCAGCTCTGCCCGAAACCCAGAACAGGCTCAAAAACGCTTGACGCAGCTGGTTCTGGTGGGGACTACCGTGACTAACCATAGTTACCCTCACTTACGTGGCTTGGGAGCTTAATCCTTGCTCTTGTCGAAGCAATTGCGCGCTGCAATCGGCACGCAATCGGCTCTGCCCTGGAATTCGAAGTGGCTTCCCGGACTGTGACGGCACCTTTGTTCCCATGCAGCGTCTTTCGCAAATGCTTGCAGTTGCCAGTCTGGCTACGCAAGGGGAAACCTACGAATAAAGCAAGAAACACAGTTGTCCTGGGTTGCCTTCCTTGGAATCCTGGAAGTGGACGGGCCCGAAAAAAGGAGATGGCAGTTCCGGCGTCCCCTTGCCATAAAGAGGGTATCTGGGATCAGACTGAGGCAGCCGCTGGTCCATGAACACCTCCCTAGACAGGAAGCCTCAGCGTCAGATCGAAAGACGAGCTCCGGCAGGCCTTGCCCATGGCGGGAGGGAATCTTCGGAACCTTTGGACCCTAGCACAGATCAACCCAGCTTGCATCGGTCCCTAAAGAGGACATCCAACACGGTCTTGCAATTCACAGGTGGGTTCAAGCGAAGCCCACTTTGGGAGGTCCAACACAAAACTAACGAGGAATACAATGGCCTTCAAAACCCGCACCTGTAGAATGGTTGTCGAAGCCCGTCCAAACACTCATGGACGCCCCTGCTTCAACTATCTGGTATTATTTCTGTGACACACAAGCAACTGACAGGAACACCTTGACCTGGCGTTTACCCTGTACATCTCATTTTTGGTCCGAAACAACAAGAGGTCTACCTGCGAGTTTAAGTGGCTGAGGGCCAATTGGGAAGATTTTGGCGTTGGACCGCCCTTGCTAGGCATTGGCGGAAAGCCCAAGGTATTTCCCCGACAGAGTCAAAAAAAACGCTTGAGTGCAATGCGCTCGACTTGCTAAGAACTTTAAAAGCCAACGTAAAATATCCGCCGTGCTTTTTGATGGTGTTGGGTGAAAGGGAATCAAACGTAGGACAAACCCCACCCCTTTTGGGGGGGACTAGCAACCATTTTTTTGCGCAAGGACCTCTCAGCTCGCGGCATAATGCGCTGATCTCTGCTTCTGTAAGCTGCACGAGCTTCGGTGGCCTGGTGTGCCGGACCTGGCGACCAACAGCCGAGCCAGGGACGCGGAAGTGTCCCAAGTAATATATATATATATATATATATATATATTGAAGATCGAGCGAAATCATTACCGTCTTACATACATTCCATTCATTGATCGAAAGTGCAATAGCTTACTCCTACATTCAAGACTAGCTTTCGTCTAAAACCTCCACGAGCCCCATTATAATTCTGTAGGCCCGTGGAACTTGCCCTTAGGCTTCAAGGGAGCCGTGGTCCCTAGAGAGAAAGGGCCTCTGCCAAATTCTGTCGGAAAAAAATCGTCGCGGCGTTTCTCCAAGGTCTGTGTCAACATTTCGAAAATGAGACAAAAGAGCAAACTCATTTAATGTCAAGGCTTCTTAATCCTCTATCTTGTTGAATTGATTTTTGACTTCTTCTTTTCCGAGGGGCTGTGTGCTTGGGGGGGGGGGGGTCTTTTGCGAGAGGTGGGTCCGGGTGGGTGCATTGCGTCGATTGAATCCAAGTCCGTGCCTCTAAGAGCTGCCCCAGAATTCGGTCCACATCCAGCGCCTGGCGAGGGTAGGGTTCCGTTCCGGGGACCTGCAGGGTGGGTCGTGTTTTAGGGAAACCCCTCCCCCCTCAAGAAAAACAGAACAAGAAAAAACACTAATCATATGTTAACTCGTTATTATTATCATTCTTATTGTTATTACTATTGTTTTTGTTAATTTTCTTGACACACACACACACACCACACCATGAAAAAGAAAAAAAAAAAAAACGGACCCGGCCGGGTCAAGCAGACGATCGGATGGCCAACTTCTTGTCCCTACATCTTAACATGGCAAAACCCAATCCATCTTTGGAGGAACCTCCTTTTGAAAAGCCAGTTTGTTGGGTTCCAGGTTAAGATGTAGGGGAGTATCCTGGCTTGGTCAGTCTTGGACATTCTTGCACCAAGCCAACAGAGCTTGTCGGCGAACTCTGATCTCTAACAATGTTCAATGCTTAAGGATCAAACTAAAGAGCAACCACCTCACCTCTACATCGCATACTGAGTCGTCTTTGACCTCCTCTAAGCAGTTACACTTTTAGACAGCACACAGTCATGTCAAAAAGGTCAAAAGCTCATGACGCACTTCGGCCATACCGCTGTGCTGAACAGGGGGCCTGAGCACAACTTCCACAAAAAAGGCCCTTCTGTTTTCCTTTGAGACAATTACAACACCTGGTTGGCATAAACTCAAGAAGTGGCATAAACCTTTTGGCTTCCCTTTTGGGAAAGCCAACGTCTCCCATTCGCAAACCACAACGCCATCTTGACATTTGCTCATCCCAGTCCTCCATGGAGCGGCGAGCGGTCTAACAGCCTCGGCCACGGAATGTCTCCGTGACCCGAATCAAACATGGGGCCATGAAGTTTTTCCTTTTGGAGAATGACCCAAATTGCTAAGAGCTGTGAAGACTTCAGATATGGTCAGATTGCTTGGTCTCTCAAACATGAAGCAGTTTTTTGGAGACCCCAGCTCCAGCTCTCATCAAGGGGCTATCTTCGCTTTCATAAAACTCCTTGTGCGAGCAGATATGGACGCATCTACAGTATGTACGTGCACCTCCTCTCATAAACCACTCATGGACGTGCGTGTGTGGTTTTTGGAGTCGGTTCCCTTGTTGCGGCTCTGCAAAAGGGCTCAAATTTCCTTGCGCCAATGAAGTTCGAGGCAGATCCTCGCCACTGATCTTTACCGGCCAATTGGGGGAGCTTCCGGCTGTTAGTCTGAGGGGAGTGTATTTTGCAGGCAGACATGGTCTAACCAGATCAGTGAATGGCAGGTCCAGCAATGCTTGGTACAGCCGAAATGGCCCCCATTTGGCCCCCAAGTTCAGTGAACCATCGCTAGCTCCTTGCGCAAGCTGGGGGTACCCGGATGAAGGAGCAAGCCCAGTTCAGCTTGAAGTCGCATGGAGTCTTTCAACGGGCCGGGTAATTGCGGGCTTTGTGAGCGTCGACTCGGTTTGAAGTTTGTGTTGCAATCGTTCGGCCTTGGCCTGGAACGCTGTCAGGATTTGGCTGTCAGCCTGCAGTTGTGGGAAGAGAGGTGTGAGTTTGGGATTGTTGCGAGCTGTTCACGATTCATGGTCCAAGGGCAAGCCTACGTTTCCCCCACTCCAAGTTCCAACTTTGCGTAGACCTTAAAGCTACCGCTGCAAGCAAAAAGTCGCCAACAAAATGGAACCAAGTCTTATCAAAGGGACCTGGGAGCTTCCATGTTTGTCTGGGGGAGGGTAGCTTGGGCATTGACCCTGCCAAATAGGAATCCAAGGAATCCAAGGGTGCCAGACATGTTTTGTGTTACCCTCCAGTCACGTGGCCGCTTATATTTAGTGAGTGCCCCATGTCCCCCAAATGGACCGTAGACTAAAAGATATGTTGACCGAACCTCATGTGGTTGTGGGAGAAACATCGTTTCTGTGATACCTAACAAGGCCATGCCCACTACTTTGTCGCTTAGAGGATCCCTTACCCATTCTTCACCAATGGGTCAGGACAAAACTTGACACCCAAACGCTGGGACACATTTCTAGGACATATGTCTTCTTTGCTTTGAGGGAAACCCCCCCAAATTGGCTTCGGTGTTCCTTTTGGTTTGCCTGTAGATCAACCCCAAGAGGCGTTCCTCAAACAAGACATACCAATTCTCCAGCATCAAACTCTGAGATTCTGGCACCGGCATCAACGCCAGGCCAGCATTGTGCTGCATAGCCGCTGCTTTAGGCAACCCTGTTGCTGGAGCAAAAAGGAGATGCGCATCAACCTGGGGAAAGCACTTGGGAACTTCCCAAAGGGGACCTGTGGCTTCCGTTATTGATGAACTCCAAGTCACGTTTGCTGGAAATGAGGAATCCCCCGAGAGAGGAAGCTTTGTCATAGGTGAGCTCGTCCTAGCCCCAATGCGAACCTGCAATTTGCCCAGGGCGAGAGTTCAATTGGCCAAGCGACTGCAAGTGCAGGGAACCATTTAGTTCGTCCCGTGTTTGTTGAACCCATGTGAAAACGTTGGTATAGTTAGCGGGGGATCCTTGAAAGAATCAAAGTATGCAGAAACATGCAAATAGCAATAGCAATGATGGCGCTATGCTGTCAGTGCACGATCAAAGTTGCTGTTTCTTGCACCAGAACTTTGTAAGAACAGGGATCCTTACATTATACACCTGAACATTGCCTTGTAAATTGGTGGTTTCCCTTTATTTTGGTAGAAAAAACAACATGTTTCAAATGGTTGCAACATGGAGATCTTTTAAGGAGCCCTGGAGAAAGAGGGGCCATGATTGACCAACTCTTTGGTAAGATCCAGCAAGCCCCCCGTGCACTGCCCACGCAATTGGGTGCAGCTTTTCAAAGACTCCTGTATATATTGACTCGTGGTTGAATGTGAGTGCCTTGTTCGGGAGAGCCACCCAAAGGAACTCGACCAATGGGGTCAACATAAATCAACCGTGAACCATGAACCATGAAACATGAAGCGCCATTCTTGGTGAAAATCAAGCCACCAGGAGTTAAACCGCAGGTTTTAGTTCCCACACCCACCACCATTCTGCTTCTGATACCGACACTGGCGCTCTGCAAGACATGCAAGAAAGCCAGACGGAACAGGAATTCCGTCCCCGGCCCCGAACTCGCCGGACGGAGAAGCCCAAAAGAAACCAAGCTGATTTCAGAGGCCCCCATTTGAGTCACAATCAAAACGTGGCAAAACTAAATGAGGTCGTCTGGATACCCTTGTTGTCGGTATTTTGAAGGGAACCTGAAGGAAAACCGTTCTGGGGGGTCCCCTAAAAACAGACTAGCCACCTATATCTAACGTTGTTCCTGGCTGATTTGGGCGAGTATTGGAACACATGCCGGGCCGATACCTCCTTGGAAATGACCCATTCGGCGATAGGTGTATGTGTGTCAAATAGGAGGAGCCCCTAGAAATGGCGTTCCTCCTCTTGATTTCCCTTTGAACCAACCCTTTAAAAGGGTAACCTCAAAAACACACTCAGATCTCAGCCATTGCTTCACTTGATTCGAATGCGCGCTCGCAACAGTATGCGGCAACGGAACTAGCCATTGCCCCGCTGCTCGGTACTTGACGGGAATCCAAAATGAAACCTACCTAGGTCCTCCAGATTTGAGAGGTTAGAATAAGACCGACCTTTTTTTCTGTAGTCTATTTTAGTAGGGGCTTTCCCTCCCAACCAAAACAGAAATGGGTGAGAAAGGTTGCACGATCCTGTGGGGCTTGGGATCCTTTACGGGATCGAGTTCCGATTTCGAGAAACCAACCAACTGCCCACGGAAGAGCCACGGAAGGGCCCTTGAGGAGCGAAGGTCCCAAGTTCTTAGCCCCTGAGATTGTGAGCAATAGAAAAGCAGACGTTGGAATCATCCATTGCATCCTTGGTAAGCACTTCGGGAACTGGGGAAGCCTGGCTTCATGCTGGTCAATCCTGCAAAAAGGGATCCTAGTTTTTTTGCTTTTCATGTTCTTTCTTTTTTAAACAACTTTGATTCTCTCCTCACCCTATTCTCACCTTACCCTTAACGAACAGAATGCGGAAGTAGCCGTAGCAAGAAGTATCTATGTGTCAGCAGTCAGCAATCCATCCCGAACACCCAAGTTTCTTCCACTATTGGGTTAAATAGACCATCTATTCCGAAGTGCAAGAAACATTGCACCATCCCGAATTATTGCACCTTGTCCCCATCCACTGAAAGTCCATCTATCTGGAACGACCATTTAAATTCCTAGCCACAGCTTCTGGAGACCCCTCAAAAGAAGGTAAGGTTAGAATAAGGGTACCCTTTTTTCTGTAGTCTATTTTAGTAGGGGAACCCTCGCAACCAAAAAAGGGTAGAAGGGCACCTAGCTGGGGGACCTAGTATCACACCGTGGGGAGCGGTTTCAGCCGCCGCGGCGCAGCGTTTTTTTTCTTTCCCGACACGTGGCTCGCAAGTTCCGGGGCCGCTTTTGTTGGTCCCGGCGCATGGCTCCTCAAGGCGGCCCGCCTTGGACGGCGAAAGGCTCAAGGACGGGGAAACGCCCAAGTGGAAACCGGCCACTTTGGAGGTGCCCGATTTGGAGACCTACCCACTTTCGCATGTTCGCTGAGCTGTTGGGATCTATTATGCCTTCTGTTGGACACCCAGGGGGACGGAGCAGCACTGCAGAGTCTAGGTCCTTGGCAATCAGCCTGACTTACCAACAGCGCTTCTCGAAAATTGCAGGGAATGTATCTGAGAGGATTATAATATTTCACCAACCTGAAATAAGGAGCTTGGGGGGCTATTCCCCACATAAACCACCATTTGGGGTGAATTCGGTCGTGTGAGGTCGTTATAATTCAACCAGAATGTACCTCAAAGCTGGGCAACCCCAAAAAAAGAATCTGCCAACCAGTCTGCGTTTCTTGTCAAGTAGTGGCCAAGTGAGCGCAGCTATGCCGGCACGCTCCACTTGCATGGGTTGGGCGTTAAATTGCGGGTCGGGAAGGTTAAAGCTTGACCCATTCTTCTCAGTCCCAAGAAAGCAATCCCTCGTGTGTCTTCCTTTTACTCTCCCTCTCAAAGGCGAAAATGACCTTCCATTTGCTTAAGCCCCCTGAAAGAGAAGAACAAACATATTTCCAGTAGTGATCGATTCTTTTAAAACCAACAGGGGATGTTAAAAGAAAAGAACAAAAAAACAACTTAAAACCAAAAACTTAAACCAATGGAAGGTGCCCTTCGCCTCAACACGAGCCACAGTCGACTCCAAACGAGCCCCTCGCATGGCTGCATGGCTCTCTGGTCGACCTCCGGCCATCACCTGAGGCCAAGCACTGGAGGTCCATCGCACTGAAGGGAAGAAAAACATCTTGGGACGCCAACGCAAGACATAGGGGGTCGTTTGCCGCGGCATCCTCCGAAAATACGGGCTTAAATATAAAACAACCCAGTGACCACCCTCTTGAAGTTCTATGACGATGGGAGGACACCACACATCTTGGCCCAACCCTGGAATTGTCGCAAAAAAAGATGTGTAGAGTGTAGAGTCTACCTTTCATTCATATTTCCCCGCCCTATTTGCTACTCTTATGTGTTTGTTTTAAGCCCGTATTTTTGAGGATACCGCTGCAAACAACCAATACCCTCCCATCGTCATAGAACCTGAAGAGGGGGTCACTGGATTGGTTGATCATGGTCAAGGAAACCCCTTTTAGTATCACAGAAAGCTGCCTTCAACAGGAAGGATGCTGGAAAATCATAAGAAGGCTACGGGCACTTCCCTGAACAAAACATGGCACCGCCAAAAAGCATGCTT